AAGCACTGTTTAGAATCCATTTGGCCCACTTTAGAAGACTTGAGAGAATTCCTCTCTATCGGTAACGTTAAGTAGAACCACGGAGGAAGCCGTGTTGCCGAAAGTGTTGACATCAACCAGCTACTCGATTGGTGTAGCACGATCACATGTCGAACCGTGTCACCGCCCGTGCACCAAAATCTTATTGCGCCCCGAAGACACTAGTTCTTTATAAAATGCATCAATATGAAAAACGGGCAGGATATTTTTCGATTAACTTTTTGCTGTAAGTTTAACATAACTCGTTCTTATTTATGAAGTTGAGCTTGTGTAGTTCTCAGACGTCAGAGCGAGATGGAACGATAATCGGGTTCACCTTATGGCCTATGATGAACAGCAGATATAGAGGTTGGTTTAAGGGAGATTGTATATCAAAATTTACTGATATGTGCCAGAATAGTAATGTTTTTATATAACACAATTTTTTTTTCTTTATAATAAAATATATTAAAATGAATACAATCTGAATATTGTGGAGGTTAGTCAATTTTTTTTTGTCTTTCTTACAGCCTGTAGAAGACAGGAGGAGGGTCAGGGCTATACTACCATACACCAAAGTGCCAGATACTGATGAGATCAGGTACATTTTCTGTGGCTACCCACCAGGATACTCTTTATATTGTTGCATTGTATTGTTATTGTACATATTAAAATATTCACAAATCTCAGTGAAATCACTGATTAAAATTTGTATTTATTATATTTATTGTTTCAGAATTTTTGATTAACGAACATTTGTCACCTACAACCTTGCATATTGCAGAATTGTTCCAAATTTTATGATTCAAAGAGGACGCCTGCTGGTAGCGCTTTGACATTACAATTATTAAAATATTAAATGATGGTGATTTTGTTGCATCAAACATTTTAAAAAGTAAAATAATTAATAAAATAATTTCAAATAATAGTCATTAAGATGTTGCAGAGTACAATATTATAACAAACTATATTTAGCAATGTAAATGCTTATTTGCTAATTTTTGCTTTTTATTTTGTTATTTCACATGCCAATGTTTTCTTTCATTTTTTGTTGTCTATGTTAAATGATTGTGTGTTTTTTAGTTTCCTCAAAGAAGACATGTTTATTGTTCACAATGAGCTGGACGATGGCTGGATGTGGGTCACCAATGTTCGCACAGAGGAGCAGGGCCTCATCGTAGAGGATCTGGTGGAGGAAGTAGTACGTGCAACATCAAATAATTCTCTGTATTTTAATGTCAAGAAAATTAATAAACATAAACTTAAACATAAACTACAGTACAAAGAGAGAAGCAAGACTAGTCATTGTTTTAAGTTTGTGTTTTAATACATGTGTGTTTCTCGCATATTACCAGGATCGAGAGGAGGATCCACATGAGGGGAAAATGTAAGTGTGATAAATTGTTCTTTCAAGTGTCCACTGTTGATTGAACAACAGATCCACCTAATGAGTTAAACTTTTTTGTAATAAATGGTTAAATGTCTTGCCATAATTTGGAATAATTTGTTATCCAGTGTTTAGGTCTGGCCCTTTTGTGACATGAAATGTAATCTGTACAAAGCCAAAAACATTAGAGCACTATATGGGTCCAAAGTCCTCCTTATTGATGACCTTCAGTATTTGCAGCTGTTCTGGCTTTTTACATAAAACAATAACTCATTGTGTGGAGTGCATTGCACGCATATCTCAGAATTTAACTCAGCACAGTTTTGATTTAGTTACGATGTCAGATTTATTGACAGATACTGTAGTAGTCGGCACGACTGGACATCTGCATTTTGGTGATTCAGCAAATTAATTTGTTTATTTCTCTTTCTCTCTCTTTCTCTCCTCTCTGCTGTATCTCAAATAGCTGGTATCATGGAAAGATCACAAAGCAAGAGGCCTACAACCTGCTGATGACAGGTACCATCTCTCTCTTCCTTCCATATACAGTGCATCTGGAAAGTATTCACAGCGCTTCACTTTTTCCACATTTTGTTATAATACAGCCTTATTCCAAAAAATAAAAAAACCTGAGAAATCACATGTACATAAGTATTCACAGCCTTTACCATGAAGCTCAAAATTGAGCTCAGGTGTATTCTGTTTCCACTGATCATCCTTGAGATCTTTCAGCAGCTTAATTGGAGTCCACCTGTGGTAAATTCAGTTGATTGGACATGATTTGGAAAGGCACACACCTGTCTATATAAGGTCCCGGGGTTGACAGTGCATGTCAAAGCACAAACCAAGCATGCAAACAAAGGAATTGTATGTAGACCGGCCAGGATTGACTCGAGGCACAAGGCTAGGAAAGGTTACAGAAATGTTCTGCTGCTTTGAAGGTTCCAATGAGCACAGTGGCCACCATCATCCGTAGGTGGCAGAAGTTTGGAACCACCAGGACTCTTCCTAGAACTGGCCGGCCAACTAAGCTGAGTGATCAGGGGAGAAGGGCCTTAGTCAGGGAGGTGACCAACAACCCGATGGTCACTCTGTCAGAGCTCCAGCGTTCCTCTGTGGAGAGAGGACAACCTTCCAGAAGGACAACCATCTCTGCAGCAATCCACCAATCAGACCTGTATGGTAGAGTGGCCAGACGGAAGCCACTCCTTAGTAAAAGACACATGGCAGCCTGCCTGGAGTTTGCCAAAAGGCACTTGAAGGACTCTCAGACCATGAGAAACAAAATTCCCTGGTCTGATGAGACAAAAATTGAACTCTTTGGAGTGAATGCCAGGTGTCACGTTTGGAGAAAACCAGGCACTGCTCATCACCAAGCCAGTACCATCCCTACAGTGAAGCATGGTGGTGGCAGCATCATGCTGTGGGCATGTTTTTCAGCAGCAGGAGCTGGAAGACTAGTCAGGATAGACGGAAAGATGAATGCAGCAAAGTACAGAGACATCCTGGATGAACAGCAGGCCAATGACTGGCACACAGCCAAGCTATCGAATGAGTGGCTTCAGAACAACTCAGTGAATGTCCTTAGGTGGCCCAGTTAGAGCCCAGACCTGAATCCAATTGCACACCTCTGGAGAGATCTGTAGATGGCTGTGCACCGACGCTTCCCATCCAACCTGATGGAGCTTGACAGGTACTCCAAAGAGGAATGGGTGAAACTGCCCAAAGATAGGTGTGCCAAGCTTGTGGCCCCATATTCAAAACGACTTGAGGCTGTAATTGCTGCCGTGCAATTACAGCCTCAGGTGCAGCAACAAAGTATTAAGTAAAGGCTGTGTACATGTGATTACTAAGGTTTTTTATTTTTAATAAATTTGCAACAATTTCCAAAACTTTTTTAACATTGTCATTATGGGGTGTTGTGTAGAATTTTGAGAAAAAAATGAATTTAATCTATTTTGGAATAAGGCTGTAACATAACAAAATGTGGAAAAAGTGAAGCGCTGTGAATACTTTCGGGATGCATTGTAGTTATCAATCACCTGCAGCTTTATCCTTTCTGTATCCACGTCTGTTTATCATACTATGCTGCTGAGTGTGCATTAAACCCAGCCTTGTTTTCTTCTCTCCGTTCGTCTGCTCCTAGTTGGCCAGGTGTGCAGTTTTTTAGTCCGGCCATCTGACAACACACCTGGAGACTACTCTCTCTTTTTCCGCACAAATGAAAACATCCAAAGGTTTAAGATCTCCCCCACCCCCAACAATCAGTACATGATGGGAGGGAGGTACTACAACAGCGTTGATGACATCATTGACCATTATAAGAAGGAACAAATTGTTGAGGGCTACAACTTGAAAGAACCTGTTTCAGTGCAGGTTAGTGCAGTTTCATCACAATGTTATTGAAACTGTGTGAAGCTATGGATAAATCTAGAGGCCACTAGAAATCTTAACATTTCAGGAATTTTGTTCTAAATAAATACAATTGTATCCATACATGTTATTACTTCCCAGTTTGGACACAATTACACACAAAGATTACAATACCAGCAAAATGTAAATTGCGTGTGTGCATGTGTTTTATATGCGTGTGTATATAATAACAACTGAGATTTATTTATATATGTTTTTTATTTTATTTTTTTGTTTTTTTACATACATGCTTTATACATTATACAAATAGATGGTTCATTAATATTTTAATTTTATTTGAACTTTGCCGCAGCACCAGGAACAAGTGCTTACAGACCCAGTGGATGGTAGAGAAATTTACAACACTATCAGACGGAAACCAAAAGATGCTTTCTACAAAAACATTGTCAAGAAAGGCTACATTCTGTTCAACAAAGGTTTGTGTGTTTTATGTACAAAACCCAATTCCAATGAAGGTGGGACGTTGTGTTAAATGTAAATAAAAACAGAATACGATGATTTGCAAATTCTTTTAACCTATATTCAATTGAATACACTACAAATACATAATATTTTGTTATGTATTTGATTTAAAACAAATCTCTCCCACTATAAAAATAAGTCAGTCATGACAGTGAACATTGCTCTTTGGCCTCAGGTAAAGGCAAACGGTGGAAGAACCTTTACTTCATCCTGGAGGGTAACGACGCCCAGCTTATCTACTTTGAAAGTGAGAAGAGAGCCACAAAACCAAAGGGTCTGATTGACCTGAGTGTGTGCTCTGTGTATGGGGTGCATGACAGTCTGTTTGGCAGGTAAGATATCAGAACTTGTTTTCCGAGTACATTTGTAAAAGAGGTTGTGCCCCTTTATTTCTGTATGCTCAGTGAATTTAAACACCTTATGGAAGTTTTGTTTTCTTTATCATAAAGTAATTAAATGCATATTTCCATTTTATAACTTTTCAGGCCAAACTGTTTCCAGATTGTTGTCCAGCACTTTAGTGAGGAACAGTACATATTCTACTTTGCAGGAGAGGCTCCAGAGCAGGCACAGGTGTGAAAAGAGCATTGTAAAAATGTAAAAAACAAGATGCAATGTAATTGGTTGAATAAAAGCCCACTTTTTTAAGCCTCTACCATTTCACAAAATATTATGTTACAGACAGTACGATTTGTTTTTGTATTTACAAATGCACTCCTTTTTTTTTTAAAAGGATTGGATGAAATGCCTCCAAACCTTTTGCAGTAACTTAAGAAAAAACACTCAGCCTACCTCCAACAAGAGGCTCAGACAGGTATGTGTCTCAACAGTTGTTCAGTCTGTGAGGTAGAGCAGTTACTAATTTTCTAAACAACAGAGAAATGGTAATAATGTTAAGAAATTCTTATAATAATTAGTATCTGAGACCATGTTGTTGGTCTCAGATACTCTTCCTAGAAAACATGTTTTCTTCATCAAGGGGGGCGTTCAAACCCCCCCTTGATGAAGAAAACAATCTCTCTCCGTTCGTCTGCTCCTAGTTGGCCAGGTGTGCAGTTTTTTAGTCCGGCCATCTGACAACACACCTGGAGACTACTCTCTCTTTTTCCGCACAAATGAAAACATCCAAAGGTTTAAGATCTCCCCCACCCCCAACAATCAGTACATGATGGGAGGGAGGTACTACAACAGCGTTGATGACATCATTGACCATTATAAGAAGGAACAAATTGTTGAGGGCTACAACTTGAAAGAACCTGTTTCAGTGCAGGTTAGTGCAGTTTCATCACAATGTTATTGAAACTGTGTGAAGCTATGGATAAATCTAGAGGCCACTAGAAATCTTAACATTTCAGGAATTTTGTTCTAAATAAATACAATTGTATCCATACATGTTATTACTTCCCAGTTTGGACACAATTACACACAAAGATTACAATACCAGCAAAATGTAAATTGCGTGTGTGCATGTGTTTTATATGCGTGTGTATATAATAACAACTGAGATTTATTTATATATGTTTTTTATTTTATTTTTTTGTTTTTTTACATACATGCTTTATACATTATACAAATAGATGGTTCATTAATATTTTAATTTTATTTGAACTTTGCCGCAGCACCAGGAACAAGTGCTTACAGACCCAGTGGATGGTAGAGAAATTTACAACACTATCAGACGGAAACCAAAAGATGCTTTCTACAAAAACATTGTCAAGAAAGGCTACATTCTGTTCAACAAAGGTTTGTGTGTTTTATGTACAAAACCCAATTCCAATGAAGGTGGGACGTTGTGTTAAATGTAAATAAAAACAGAATACGATGATTTGCAAATTCTTTTAACCTATATTCAATTGAATACACTACAAATACATAATATTTTGTTATGTATTTGATTTAAAACAAATCTCTCCCACTATAAAAATAAGTCAGTCATGACAGTGAACATTGCTCTTTGGCCTCAGGTAAAGGCAAACGGTGGAAGAACCTTTACTTCATCCTGGAGGGTAACGACGCCCAGCTTATCTACTTTGAAAGTGAGAAGAGAGCCACAAAACCAAAGGGTCTGATTGACCTGAGTGTGTGCTCTGTGTATGGGGTGCATGACAGTCTGTTTGGCAGGTAAGATATCAGAACTTGTTTTCCGAGTACATTTGTAAAAGAGGTTGTGCCCCTTTATTTCTGTATGCTCAGTGAATTTAAACACCTTATGGAAGTTTTGTTTTCTTTATCATAAAGTAATTAAATGCATATTTCCATTTTATAACTTTTCAGGCCAAACTGTTTCCAGATTGTTGTCCAGCACTTTAGTGAGGAACAGTACATATTCTACTTTGCAGGAGAGGCTCCAGAGCAGGCACAGGTGTGAAAAGAGCATTGTAAAAATGTAAAAAACAAGATGCAATGTAATTGGTTGAATAAAAGCCCACTTTTTTAAGCCTCTACCATTTCACAAAATATTATGTTACAGACAGTACGATTTGTTTTTGTATTTACAAATGCACTCCTTTTTTTTTTAAAAGGATTGGATGAAATGCCTCCAAACCTTTTGCAGTAACTTAAGAAAAAACACTCAGCCTACCTCCAACAAGAGGCTCAGACAGGTATGTGTCTCAACAGTTGTTCAGTCTGTGAGGTAGAGCAGTTACTAATTTTCTAAACAACAGAGAAATGGTAATAATGTTAAGAAATTCTTATAATAATTAGTATCTGAGACCATGTTGTTGGTCTCAGATACTCTTCCTAGAAAACATGTTTTCTTCATCAAGGGGGGCGTTCAAACCCCCCCTTGATGAAGAAAACAATC